ATTAGATATTGTAAATTCAAAAATAATATGAAAAGTTTTTAATAAAACGAATACATAGTAAAGTCTGCAAATGTGAACATGTCATCTGCAAATTTAATAATGAAAAAAGTGTTGTATTAAAAAATTAAAATAAAAAATTACATTTTTGGATTTGTTCTTTTTACATACGAAATTGATCCTTATTTATTGTATTCAATTCCAATTTGAAAAAATTACTAAAATATTAGGTATACTGATATTATTATATAATATTCAGTGACATAGGACACTTGTTTATTAACGTCTTAACTATATACTTTCGAAATAAAAAACATGATAGTGGATAAAGAAAAATTATTGTGGTAGTTACCATAAATATGAAGTAGTGGTTTCGGTGGTTCAAAAAAAGATCTTGGAAATCACTGCAAATTGTATATATTTGAAAAAGTAATCAGATCCAAAAACCACCCAAACATTTCTACTCTCCAAAAATGGTTGTTCATCGATTGCTATGTATTGCTTTTTTGAACTGATAGAGAAAATTAAATTCTTCTTTTTTTCTATAGCAACACCGTTTATTTTCTGATACAATGAATTTTCATATAAAGTACTAATACAGTTTTACTATTCATAATTTATTCATTGATTTTTAATTAAACAATTCAAAAAATTAATAATTATGCACATTAAAATAGGGTACTTTAAAAATCCCCATTTATTTAAGTAGATATGCCCAAATATTACAAAGAATGCTGTATATTCTGTACTATGAGGCTACCATATATTAACTGGATATTCCAAATTTACCTAAATACTACGAGGCTAACATACATTAATTAGAATAATATTTCATGTCATTTTCATTACGGTACTATATATGATGATTTTTCCTGTAATATTTATATGTAATTAAAGAAAAATTATTCAATTGAAAAATTCTTCGATATTTCAAACGATAAAAATTAAACCATTAAATAATATCCTAAAAATTATGTGTTCAATAAAGTTTCCAAAAAAAAAATTTTTATTTTTACAAAATTATCTCTTATCTTTTATAAAAATTTCCTTGAATAATTTTCTTACAAAATCAATTCAAATCATTTATTTTTTTTTTTATTCATTTAATATTTTTTTTTGCTTTCTTACAAAATAAACAAACACATATACTAAAATAACAACTTATATATTTTATTTATTTTTATATTTTAGTCCTAAGATGGAAAAATTTTCTTTTAAAGCAAAAACAATATTGATTTATTGAAGTTTTATTGAATTTTTCATATACAATTTTATTTATAATTGCAAATAAAAATTGAAAAAACCATAGACAAATGTTAATATTCAAATAAATTCGAAAAAATAAAATAAGAAGCATAAAAAATTTTTGAATTATTAACCTTTATGGCATATATGAAAAACTTAACATAAAATTAAAAAACCAAAATATCCTTTTTTTTGGCTTTAATAGAACAATAAGAAACCTTAAGGACACAGAATAATCAAGATAACAAGAAAATTATTAAAATATATTTGAAAAGAATTGGAAAATGTTCTTCAATCAACCACAATATAAACTCTTTATAAGAGTCTTTATAATATACTAGACAAATTATTTATTTATATTTTGTATTTTTTTTTTGTTAATATTTTATTTTAAAAGAAAAAAAGATTTTAAAATATTTCTATTCAATTGATTATATGCAATTAACCACATATATATATTAGGAGTACTGTACAGTATTTTAATAATTGCTCTCTTATAAATTTTTTCAATCAAAATGTTAAGGTCAATGGTCAGGCGAACTGAGTCGGGTCCTGTTTGTTAATAAATATTTTTTTGTTTAATTAAATTTTAAAATTTAATAAAGTACTAAGACTATTATTTATAAGTGTGCTACGATAATTAGAATTTTTACGTTTTTATGTCATATTTTTAATTCTTTTCAAAATGCTGAATTATTGGTAGGTAATATTCTTAAATTATTATTCATAATATTTATAAATTTATTGAAATATTTCGAAAATTTATTTAGGTGATCTAATTATCGACAATACTGTAGTAATTTAATTAATATTTAAATAGAGTTGAATAACACTTTCTTTATATTATTTGGATTTAAAACAAATGAGTTTAACTTCTTTGATAATAATTTCAATAGCAATATATAAAATTCTTATATGATTCAAAAATGTAGAACAATATTCAGACCTAAGCCGCTTTTTAAAATATTCCAAAATCCTCATGTTAAAATAGAAGCAATGTAAATTAAAAATCTCAGTTCAAAAATATTACATGTAAATTCATTATACATTTATACTACATTATATTTGAAAAAAAAAAAAGAAATTGAATAAACCATATTTTATAATTAATTTTACAATTATATAAAATTTTTTCATTTTTAATAATGTTAAATAAATACCATGTACATTACATTAATTCAATTTCAAATGTAATTCAATTATATTTTAATATAAAATAAATAATATTGAATTGTGGTTTCTATAATATGAGGTTAACTCTATTTTTATTCAAAATTATTAGTTTAATAAAATTTTAAATAAATATAAAATTTTTTGCAATATTGTTGCATACAGAATAATTATTTTTTTTTTATGAATTAAACAATAAATTTTTTATATAAAATTTAATAAAATTTAAATTTTTTTCAAAGATTTAAATTCAAAGTTATTAAATTTAAAATGAAATTAAAGAATATTTACTCAAAATTCTCTATAGTACACCATTTTTAATTTTTTAACAATTTAAGATATCAGTTTTTAATGGCTTTGTGACTAAAAGTTGAAATATTAAATACTTCTTCTTAATTAGTAACTGTTAAATTCTTAACACTACGCCGAACTCCATAAACTTTATACAAAATTTTTATATAATATTCGTCACACACGTTCGAAGGGTATATTAAATTTGCTTTATCGTTTGTAACGCTAAGAAATAGAATAACAGCGTCAAATTCTGAGTCGATCTAGCCATATCTGTTCGTTTGTTAGCTTGTCCGCTTATCCGTCCCATTGATAACTCAAAAGCTAATTAAGCTAAGTTCACCAAATTTTCACAAATACCAGAACACTATTTAAATTGGATTGTGATCGATATATCTCAGAAGTTATTCAAGTTAGAATATCGAAATTCGCAAAAACAAATATATTATTGAAGCTGCTAAGCATGATAAAATAATAGTCATTGAAATTTCTTATTTCCTTGTGATTGCTGTCATGGAAATTGAAAAATTACTTAGTCATAACTTAGAAATTGTTAAAGGTACAATACTGAAATTTTGCAAAAATAATTTTGATAACATGGCGATTACAATAGGTGCTATACAATTTGAGAAGTTCTTTAAATAGATCACAAAAATTATTGTACAGTATGGAAATTTCGCACAAACAAATATTTTATTATTGCTCTTATATTTGATAAAACTAATTGAAATTTCTAGATTTGTGGTAGTAAATGCCATACAAACTCGAAAGTCATTTGGTCGTAAATTATGGAAGCTATTGAAATTATAATGCTAAAATTTTGCATAAACGAAAAACCCAAGGAGTACACTTGGCAAAGTGTAGCAATTAACACATAGCACTTAAAATCATTCATTCGTAAGTAAGCCACAGTCAACTTAACCTTCCCGGTTTTTTTCATTGTATTTGATTAGTGTATATGGTTGTTTGCCACATTTACTCCATATTATTCAAATGTTGTTAAAAAATTTACGTTTTCTTTAAACAATTACAGATTCATTTACTTTTTCTATATAAAATTATTTATACTACATAAGCTTATACTCTAATAATAAACTACAATTATATTATACTCAAATATAAATTGGAAATTTACTCTATACCATAATAAATCATATGGGATTCGAGGAATTATTTCATAGAATATTATTATACTCGTATATATAAGCATTTACAAAGTAATATTGAAATTGAATTTAAATATTTTATTCAGTAATAATAATGCATAAATCATAAATCCTTTTTCCTTTAAAATATTAACTGTAAAATACAAAACAGAACATAATTCACTGATATATCGGAAAATTCTAATAATTTATTAATATTTTTATTTGTTTTTATATATGTATGTATATATGTAATAAGGTTCTTGTATTTATTTTCTCAATATTTTTAAAATCGAAAAATCGAAGGGAAAAGCAAACATTTACTATTGAATATGAATTATGATTGCAATTTACATATTTACTCATAAATTAAAGTATTTTAAGATGATTTATTAATTTTATTGCCTATTCACAATGGTTTTACATTCACAATAATAACTTTTAAATTAACATTGAATATATTTTTTTTCTTTCAAATTTTTTTGTTTTTTATTTACTTTTCACTCTTTCTTTTTAATCTTTATTAATTTGATTTAAATATTTCTCTAGATACACTCGTATTTATCTTGTATTGTAAATAATAATATTAAATTGATTTTTTTCTTTCTGTATAATTTTTAAATTTAATTCCATTATTAATGTTTATTATCTTTTTTTGCTTGTTTTGTTACTGTGAATTCTTGAATTTGTTTTTTTTGTTAACCCTTATTTTTTTTCTCTTTTTTTTCTTACATATATTTTATTTTTTTCACATTGCACCAATCTTCTTGATTTTGAACAAATCATCACCAAATATACACAAAAATATCACCAAATTACAAACAAAATTATTATTGTTTTTTTTTTTTTTAATTTCAACCCACACAAAATGTTGTTATGTGTCGCATGTTTAAAAAAATTTTCCTTATCAAATTTATGTGTATAAAAATATTATAATACATACAAAACAAAAAATATACAAACAATAAAAAAACAAAAACCATAAATTTTTAAATTAATTGAAATTACAATACAATATTTACTACATACCATAAATAAAAAATAATAAAAAAAAAAAAAAATTAATTAAAAACAAATGAATTTGAAAATTTTTTTATTATTAAAAAACAAAATATTCTTTAATAATGCACTGTTATACAAAATGAAAAATAATATAAACAAAAAAAACAAAAAATAAAAACAAAATACACATAATAACAAATTAGTACGACTCATTCGAAATTTCTATAAATTTGAAGAACCACCCCTGCTGGGACCAGGAGCAGCATTCCCATCACCATATGGACCGCCAGAATTTCATCAGCCCACCGATAGTTGGAAAGGTGCACCAATACATCCAGTTGCAGCAACAGGTTTAATGAAAGAACCACCAGTAGTACCAGGACGTAATGGACCAGTTAATTTTGCAGTTGCAGCTGGACAACAACAGGTAATTTATTTTAAAAATTAAAAATAAATTTCCGATATTTTCTTCTTTTTACATAATTTTTTAGTTCAAAAAATGTTAACTTTCGTTCGTTTTATAACAAAAGCTTAATGAAGAACCTATTTTTACGAAACACATACATTTTTTGTATGTTTCCCCAAATGACAATGCGTTTAATCACAGAACTAAATAAAAACCACACACACACACTCAAAAAATTTATTCAGCATTTCTTTTTTATATTAAAATTTCAAGAAATAATCAATATATTTCGAATTGTAATATTGCGGTTTAATTGTTAAATTTATGATAATTTTAAAAAATTTTCTTAAAATAATAAATACTACACCTATAATTTTATTAATTAAATAAAAAATTACTCTTTTAATGCCTATGATAATTTGTTAATTTTATATTAATTTTCGTAAAGTAACGAAAAAATACTCCAAAAATTCAATATAAAAATAAAGAAAAGAAAACAAAAATAATAGTGGCCCAAATTATATTTAGAAACCGAATTAACGCCCAAAAAATTATTATTATTATTATAATTATTATTTTCTATTAAAATTTAAGATTTTTCCTATGAACAGAAGATATAAATTTTAATTTCCCGGAATGTGAAAAAGTGGTTTAAGTGTTTTGGAAATTAAAATACTTATCCCTTTTTTCCTGATATTAAGTGTTATACATCTTCTTATTCAATTGAAAAGTTTTTGTTTGAAAATTATCCAAATGAAAAAAAATTTTTCATTTAATATCCCCATTTCATTTTCAAAACCAATTTCAAATTTATAAAAGGAACATTTACAAAAAACGAAAGAAAACAAAAAAGGATATTTTAATTTTTTCTTTTGCTTTTCTTTTTGTTCTTCCTTTTTTATTGAAAAACTAAACTCTAATCTTATTACCTTTTCACCCTTTTTGTTTTTTTTTTTTCATTATCTTTTGTTTTTTTTTTTTTTGTATTCCTAATTTATTAAAGATAAAATTACAAATTTAATTAAAAGAAACAACAACACACTTTCATATATAAAAATTTTCCTAAGACAAACCAATACACAGAAAAAAAAAAAAAAAAGAACTAAATTAAAATATAAGAACAAAAAATTTAACAATCTTTAGAGCTTTTCAAGGATTTTTTAATTTCTTATAAAAGTAAAAGCTTTAATATCACCTTCACTTGTTGCTTATATTGTTTCTCTATCCTTTATACAATATTAAAACACACTTATATATATATATTAACCAATAAGTATACAAAAATGTACAGTAGTTATAATAAAAAAAATATGGCCACAAAAATTTTACTGTTATATGCGAAAACGTTATATACAGATCCTTTTTTCTTCATTCTTCATCCGCCAATTCTTCTCTCAATCTATACTTTGTATTTTATGAAAATTATTATGGTAGACAGAATTTTTGTCATTTTAATCCTTTTTCTTTTCTCTTAAATATCTCTCCATATATGTATATATATATATATATATATATATATATATATAATATATGTATAATATATTGTATATATATATAATATATTTTCAATTAAAATAAATTTCAATTTCTTTTTTTTTTCTTCAAGACAATGTTGAATGCAAAAACAAATGTTCTTTAAAAGAAGCAATTCTGTTTTTCCTTTTTTGTTTTTTAAATTTCTTTAACCCATTTAACTAAGATTATTGTGTTGTCTTCGTATATACATAGACGACTTAAGAAAATGATAGTCAGCAAATTTTTTTTTTTTATTGAAACATTTAAAAAGAAAATATCCTGGTGTGAACAAAAATTATAGAAAATCATATTTTATGGTCAAGTAAAAAAGAAAATTATTTCACTTAAAATGTTTTTGTCTTCATTTTTTTCTTTTGACAGAAAAATAAAATTTTTCAATATAGCAGCTATACCTACAAACTTTCTCAACTATAATAATAAAATATAAATTTATTTTTTTTTGGAATTTTCATAAACAAAAGGTTCAAAAAGCTTAATGTCTTATAATGAAAATGATATTCGACTAAAACTGAAAAGAAAAATTTAAATATTATTCATTTTTATATGGGATACCCAAAAAAATTTAATTAACCTAAATTAACCCTAAAAAAATTTTCGTAATTTTTAAAGTTAAATTTAAATTATATTTTGTAGTCCCAATAAGAAAAAATTTCGTAATTATTTATTTAAAATTGAAAATTTTTAAATTTTTAATTAAAATTTGAAAATATTTTCATTTAACACACTCCAGCTAGAATAGGAAGATTTTTAGAAATTGAATTTAAAACTGTCCAAATTTTTAAAATAATCTTACAAAATTCATTTCGTTCAAATTGAAAACCCATATTAATACGAGTACTGTTATTTGGCCATTTTTATTACACATTTAAAATATTTTTAATAAATTTTTGTGAGAATATGTGAGAATTGGCAATTACCTCAAAATTTTAGTCTAATTCTAAATCCTAGTCTAATTTTTTTTTCAGTCATTTTTTTTCTAGAATCAGAATTCTAATGTTACCAAATTAGAAGTACTGTTTTTCTTAAAAATAAATTGGTTTGTGTCTATAATAATTTCTTAATAATAATTTATTTCCTATTTCAACTACTTTCAATAATTTGAATACAAGTTTTAACATTCTAAACGTAGCATTATAAATTCATTATAATATTTTTATAACTCTATATAATTAAATGAAATTATTAATTCAAAAGCAAAACAGAAAAAAAAAATCAAAACTGTCAAAATATAATTTCCCTTTTTCATAACAATATTTTATTTTATGTACAACCTTAATTCTTTACTCTCTTTGATAAAAATACCGAGAATATATAAAATGACTGATATCAAAATTTAATTTAATTGTAAAGTCTGTTTATTAAAAAAATATAATAATAATTATAATAATAATAATAAAAATAAAAGACAAGAAAATTTTAATTAATTTATTTATAATTTTTTTTTTCTTTCCTAATGAATAATTTATATTTAAAATATTTTTTTAATTAATATTATATTTTTTCACTGATTTAATTCATATTTAATTAAATAATATTTTATATATATATATATATATATAAGAATACAGTTAATTATTAATATAATTTTTGTTTCTCTTATTATTTCAAATTAATCTTATTAAGGGAGCTGTTATGATGGTATATGGACTTGATCATGAAACTTCAAATACAGATAAACTTTTCAATTTGGTATGCTTATATGGAAATGTTGCCAGGGTAAGTAATAATAATAATTAATTAATAAATAAATATTATTATTAAAATTATGTTTTTATCAATATAACAAAGAATATCAAATTTAATATTTAATTTGAAATTCAATTAAAAAAAAAAAAAAACATTTTTTTTTTTTAATTAATGAAAGTAATTTTTGGAACAAGAAAGGGATTTAAATCATAAATAATGTCATAATAGTTAATTATTAAATGATCTTAGAATAAATTTTATTTGAAAATATTTTTAATTTTTTGAATATTAAAACAATATGAAATTAATAAGCTGCAATTAGTCATATTTCAAATTTTATTTTACTTACATATAAAATTTATATTTGGAACACTGAATTTTACTTTCTGATAACAAAATAAAATCCTGGACTGAACAAAATTAAAAAACCATTAATTTCGAGTTCAAATGGTTCTGTATTATCAAAAATATTAGTATTATTATTTATTATAATTAAAGCTACGAGAAAAATAGAAAATATTAGTAAAATCTTTAACATAATTAATTGAATTTAAATTTTTTTTGTTATTATACTTCGTTCCTGGGAGGAAGCTGACATATAATATCGTAGAGCAGATAATCATGAATCAGTTTTTTGCGTCATTGAATTTAACTAGGTAGGTGAGGAGCCTACCGTATTTTTTTGTTCATATTAAATATTTAAGGTTATTGATATTTATTCTTTCCACTTTGCTGATATTTTTTTGATATTGGATATCATAGAAATAATGGCCATTATTTTATATTAATTTTTTATTTTATATGTGATTGTATATAAAGCTGTATAATATTGAATATCGTTCAGTTAAACCACTGCACTATCGGTCAGGTGAATTTAAAGTTAATTGTTCGTTGTTCTTTTTGTTATTTTAAAGAAATTTCTAAGAAAATCTGGTCAAAATTCTTAAAAATTCTGCATTTTGCCTCCAAATAAATTTATTGAAATCAAAAACGAATCACCTATATTATTTTTCAAATGAAATCAAATGTTCAGTATTAATAAATTTTATTACAATATATATACATGCATAGGTCAGATTCTGACTTGTCCTACGCATTTCGAAAAGATGCACCCGTCAGTGACCTCCAAAACAATGAGCAATATACAGTTTTTGAAAAGCACATAATGAAATTGAAAAAAAATTTAATTTTCATTAAAATGTAATTTTTTTAAAGTGTTATTGGCGCCCCTGCTTTCCGTAGTTAGCTGCAAATACTTACCTTGCATGTTTAGTAGATCCAGTACTGTACATTCAAGAACCTTTTATCTTGAACTAAAATAAGTGACAGATTTTTTCAAAACAATTTAATCTTCATTTTGTAATTTTTTTGTTTCCTTTTTCAAAATACTCCTTTAATTTAGATATCAAGCTAAATTAGACCACATTAATTTAGATCCACCACTTTTAATTTTTACTTGTTTCACAACTTTCTTTGCCAATAAATTTTTTTTTATTTTCAATTTTATTCAATCATTAAAATTCATTTTGTTTTCTTTTTTTTTGCACAAGATAATACTTAAAAAAACTGGGCAATCATTATAATAAAGGAAAAAAAAATAAAAGAAACGTTCGTAACCAAATTTTAACTTTTTAAAATTATCTTTTGTAATTTTTCCCTTTTAAACAATACTATAACGAACATGGTTAAACTTTATATACCACACACATTAATCCTATTTTATCGTTTCTCTTTTTTCCGAAGTCTTAGTGGTCTTATAAAAATGAAAATAAAATCGAGAATAATTATTGAAACGAAAAAAATTTAAAGAATACAAGAGAGTAAATTAAAACAAAAATCAAATTGAAAAGTTATAAATTCGTTATATAAGGGACGTACAATAAGTATATGATGTAGAACCGAAATTGAATCATTGAAAATAGATTAATAAATAATTTAAGATTTTTTTAATCTTGAATTAAAATTATGGTTTACAAGAAAATCTAAATTTTAAGCAATTTGCTAATAAAAACCAAAATAACGATCTGTCGAATGAAAAGTGTTAGTATTTACAACTTAGGTTCAATATAATTTGGAAACTGATATCAGATGAATTTAGATACTTGCCAAATTGGCATTCTATCTAATTCTTATCAAACAATATCAAATTCTTTGAAATTTTAAGTTAAAAATTATTTCAGTCTGTTTACAAAAAAAATTAAAATGATTTTAATTTTCGAGCCTAAGAAGGATCATATTCATGAAAATATCAAAGTGGAGCAATACAAAAGCAACTGAAATAAATGTCCTTTTAACATTTTTATTCGAATGTATACATATATCCGATTTATACTGTAAGTGAAATCGTTTTTCACAAAAACACTTTGAAAATTTTAAAGAACATTCAAATGCTCTATAAAAAATCGAAATTTAATTGAATCATCTTAGTATCAATTCTTTCACAATATACTCGTACTAAACATGAGAATAAATGAAGTACATATAGAAGTTGTAAAACAATTCGAAATGCAATTGATTTAAGTAAATCACCAATAGTCAAGTATTGTAGTAATTGATTGGAATTGAATGACATTCTTTTAATTGCAATTAACATTCAAATTTTTGCATGACAAATTCTTTATTCTGTTATTTTTTGCTTCAAGTTTAATTAAGAATGTATTCACAATTTTTTTCATAAGCATTATGTTTTGTAAAAATCGAACAATTATTCTAAACTTTCTATATATTTTGGTATTACAAATGGAAATTTAATTATTGTTGAATATTTCAATTTCTGTGCTCTTTTTGTTTTCTCTTAAAATTTGATTAAATCTAAAGAAATTTCATATAATTCATAAGAACGAGAGAAATTTTGTCGAAAATATTTATAGTTTTTTTGTTTATTTTGTTGTGTTTTTTTTCCTTGTGTATTTTGCAAGGATTTGCAACATAACTTTTAATGCACTTTTAGAATTAAGATATAAAGTGGAAAAAAAGAAAAGTTTTTTTTTTTTTTTTGGAAATTTTTGTTTTTTTTTTTTTGTCGTGGTTTTTTGTGGTTGAACAAATTCACCATTTTTTTTTTTGGATTTACAGGGAGAAAAAAGAAAACGGTAAAACAATTTAAAAGCTTTCAAAAGTTTCAATTTAAATTTGATGATTTTGCAAAGTTTTAACCTCTATTTCTGGGTACCTCCTTTTTTAATTCAATATTCAATTGTGTACTGTAAAATTGTATTGAATATTTTTTTTTTTGTTTTTGAATTTGAATTGAAATAAATTGAAGGAAATATTTAAATTGATTGTATTGAAAACAATTTATTATTCTTGTAAATGTCCTTTTTTTATTGTTTTAAGTTTTCGGTAAATATTAAAATTTAATACCAATTATACTTTTGTGGTTTCTTAAATATGTAATTAATTCTCGTATAAGAACATCGCATTGCAAATTTATCTTTCCCTTACATTAATTAAAGAAATTAGTATAAGTAAAGATGCCGTCCCACAATATTGAATTTGGCATTGAATTGCATTGGATTGGGTGACAAAGCTTTTTAGAATATAATTGCAAGTAAAATGTAAAAAAACCCACCACATGATACAGAGGCATACAATTGCTATTATTTATCTATTTTTCTATTCCTTGTACAATTTCTACGGTATTAAAAAATTTGGCTTTGACTGTACGTTTCATTGCAGACCACTCATCAGACCCAACCTGGGTGAAGACTCTGCTACTAGCTAATGTACTGTATAAACCATGTTTTTAACTATATCAATCCGAAATATCAGAAGGAACGGTTCCGTTTTATACCCGCCATATTTAGGCCACACCATTAGCTCTCCGTGAACAATAATTAAATATATCCATTTTGAAGGTATTAATAGGAACTAAACCATGATAAGCCGCTTAGCTGTTCATAGCCGATCTCAATTTAAGCAGCTCGTCTGCATTTTCATTCTCCAATATGAGTCAGAACATAGAGCAGTTCGTCTGGAAGTGTTATTCGAGAGTTATTAAAGTAAAATACAAGTGTTATTTTTAATCTCATTACTATTTTTGCATATGTATAAATCACCAGTTGCGTATATTAAATTTAAGAATTACGTTGTATAATTTAATGTTATCAAATTGAAGAAGTTTTGATGTTAGCCAAGTGTGGTTTGAAAATAATTGAAATTTATTTTAAAACCACACATCAACTTAAAATTTTTGATTTTTATAATCATCAATTTAATTTTATTAAATTGATAATTATTCACTAAAATACATTTAAATCAATTTTGCGTGGAAAACTTCAAATTCGAATTACAACAGATGCAAACATATTAAAATAATTTCTTTAAATTGCATATAAATCAAAAGAAACCGCTTATAATATTGGTATTTTAAAATCTGATACGTCAATTTTCTTAATAATTATAAAGCAGTTGATTTTATGCTACAAAGAAATGGTTCTGTGGTTTAAAGCTTGGTAATTAAAAAAAAAAGATCATTTCAAATAATTTTCATCCCTTAATTTTATTAATTTGTGGAAGAAATTCTACATTTCTCATTTTTGCCCAAACTTTAGAAATATTTTTCAGCAAAATAAAATCAAAATTTAATGTTAAATTAAAAACTTTCAGTTTTGATTTAGGCAGTTTTAAACTTATAATTGAGCTGGTTTTTTTGAAAGTGGTATAAGTCCATTTTTTCATATATTGACATATTTAAGGTTTTGCATTTGAATCAATTAAAAAATATTAGCCATAATAACATATTTTGTTTGTTTTATGTTTAAGCAGAACTCTATTAAAATTGTGATTGTAACTGTGGAGATAAGGTGTCTATACGAGGGTCACTCGTAGCTCATCAAAATCACTATTAACTTAGACTTTTTAAAAAGTGGACTTATACCACTTTCAAAAAAACCAGTTCAATTCTTACTACAGAATTATTACTTCTGAAGTGAAAAAAAAAATAATAACAACATACTGTAAAAATTAAAATCCTTACAAATTTCTAACCCCTACATAATAAAAAAATTACTTTACACGAAAACATTTAC